GGCGCGAAACCCATCCGGCACTCTCGCGTGGGCGGGTCTCTCACATCCGGGACCCTCCCACCAGCTGCGGTGTCTCGCGTGGGCCCATCACGCGAGACAAAGAAGGGATGTGAATCACCAGAAAAGTCCCTCCGAAATGTAAACGTCGTGACAGTTTCCCAGAGAGACGTACCCAGCACTGCCGGAATTGGTTCTTCCGATACGTCAACACAGCACGAAAATAGGTATCCGAGCCAAGACGTAAATTATACCATTTCGAATATAGGCAACAACACAACAACACAACACATGCAGATCGTGGATTTCATTCCCCGTTACTTACTCGTCACACGCCAGTTCACGACGAGACGAACGTCCAAAAGACTGCGTTCAGAAAAATGGATAGCCCGTTATCTTCCGTTCCAGAAATACCAATCCAGAAATACGAATCCAGAAATACGAATCAGACGTATGAATCCAGAAATAGGAATCCTAATGATAGGAGGGACAAGACACGTTATGCAGCAGAGGAACACCGGAATATAATCCACCCATGTAAAGATCAGTCATTTCTTTTTCTTGTCATGCGACATAAGAAGACTCCACTCGGACATTGACCCAAGTACGGACTACTCGTTTCTTTTCTGGGGAGGGACGGAGGGACAACGAACGGGCCGAGGGTGAAGAGAGAGGCATCGACAAAGGAAACAAACAAGACCACACGACACCTTTTATTTATTTTTTTTTTGGGGGGGGGGGGAGAAAGCAAGGACTCGGGGAGAAAGCAAGGACTCCATTACCCACTACAGAGTACTCGTTACTTTTTCCGAGAGGTATATCTGCGACGAGGGAGCAGGGGGATGAGAAAGGTTTTCGCCCCACTACAGACTACTCGTTTCTCTTGTCGAAAGGGATGAATGGGGGCGTGGAACGGGCCTGGGTTGAAGATCGCAAAGGCAAACAATCCACCCAGATCGACCACGAACAGTCTTCATTTTCATTGACGTCAACCCATATCTTCGAAACATCTTTTCCACTGGCTCACAGCTACCGTTTGAACGTCACTCCTGCCGCGTCATAACGACCTTTATCCAATCCAAATATGCATCATGTGTGACGTCAACAGAATTTTATTAATTGGGTCAGTCCATTCTCTTTTCTTTCCCCGAGTTGAGTAACCTAAACGTCACCGGTTTCATTCCGAAAAATAATGTCGCCGAAATCAAGATACAAAGATCATCCAGGTATATAAATCCTAAATTTTAAGACACATCGAATTTTGCACAGCTTTCGCGAAAAAGAAGCGTTGGTGTTAAGAAGATAAGTGTATAATTTAACGCATCCTAATATTTTATGTTCTTACGTTAGTCTTTCAACACCAACGCATGTCAAAAACAACCGCACAGACAAAGAAGAGTTCTGTGAACCTGAGCCAACCGGCAGCGAGGGACACCCACCCCCAACCACCCACGAGGTCCAGAAAAGGCCAACTCGAGACGCACGATGACTTCCATAACATCTTCCATAGCATCCAACTCAAGACGCACGATGACTTCCCATAACATATTCCATAGCATTCACATTGAAAATCGAGAAAAAAGAAACATGTACTATCTAAAAGGAGTCGCGCAACGCTTCCAGGCAGCGCCACGTATTTCAATTCCGAAGACTCTTGCCAGATGTCAAGAGTCGAAAAGGAAAAACAACAAACGACAAAAAGGAAAGCGAAAAAAGTCATCGTATACCACAGAAGCTCAAAAAAACACGGACAAAACTCCTCTATCACGCAGGTGCGGCGAGCACAACAGCACCGTCTACCCACCGCCGAACCACCTCCTCGGACACCGCGAAATAGAATGGACACCGTTTCAGAGTCTTCCCTTCCAAAAGGGAAACTCACTGGAGAATTGCACAGTAACCAGCAGCTGGCCCAAACACTCAAGAGCACCACCTGCTCCTCCCTCTCCCTCTCTCTCTCTCTCTCGCTCTCCTGTCTGCCGTTCTGAGGCATCATCACCCTCTTTTCAATACACAATGTCCTCTATAACTTAGTCTAGTCAATTTACCATACTCCGCCGCCAACAAAGATCATAATACCACATCGAGCATGCCATTGCAGCAGAGACTTCGGAGAGGACACATCCAACCACCTCCGCTTCCCACCACCGGGACCAGAACCAGTACCGTCTACAGTCTATATTCCTCTTCTTACCTCTCCCTAGCCCGCTCGCTTGCGGACAGCAAAAAGCAAAAACACCACACAAGATCAACCACATACGGATGATGCCACCACCCACCACCTCTGCTCGGTTTATTATCTACAACAAATCTGCAACGTTGCTCGGAAGCTCCTCGATCTGCGTGTTATAGAATTTCTGAATGTCTTGCAACAAGCGGGTATCGTCCTGCGTGACGAAGTTGATGGCCACACCCTTTCTCCCAAATCGCCCGCTCCTTCCAATACGATGCAAGTAGTTCTCGGGTTGAGTGGGCAGGTCATAGTTTATGACGAGGGAGACCTGCTGCACGTCGATGCCGCGCGCAAGGAGATCGGTGGTAATCAAGACGCGAGAGGAACCGGACCTGAATTCCCTCATGATGACATCACGAGTGTTCTGGTCCATATCTCCGTGGGTAGCAGAGACCGTGAAATCACGAGAGCGCATCTTGTCCGTCAACCAGTCGACCTTCCTTCTCGTGTTGATGAAGATGACACTCTGCGTGATGGCCAGGGTTTCGTAGAGATCGCACAGAGTGTCAAGCTTCCAGTCTTCCTTGTCCACGTTCACGTAAAACTGCTTGATACCCTCGAGGGTCAGTTCGTCTCTCTTGACCAGAATCTTCACCGGCTTGTTCATGAACTTTCTCGTGATCTCCAGAGCCTCAGGAGGCATGGTAGCCGAGAACACACCGACTTGGAGCTTGCCCGGTAGCAGCTGGAAGATATCGTAAATCTGCACACACAAGCTCGGACAAACACAACACAAATTAACGTCCCATCAGCTCTTAAAGACCTAATCTACTTTCAAATTTGATGTCCTTCCTTACATGTCTACTAAAAGTCCTTCCTTACAGTCCTTACATACTTAAAAGTCCTTCCTTACATATCCTTATATATTTAAAGTCCTTCCTGTCCTTATATACGTAAGTCCTTCCTTACATGTCCTTATATACACTCCTCAACCCTGTTGGAGTAAAAAGTAAAGCGGAAACAAACTTCGCATCAGCTCTCTAGTATTACCTGCTCTCCTTCCTTAATACACTCCTTAATTGTCCTTCCTTACATGTCCTCCCTTACATGTCCTTCCTTATATACTTAAAGTCCTTCCTTAAATGTCCTTCCTCACATACACTCCTCAACCCTGTTGAGGAAAAAAAGAAAGCAGAACCAAACGTCGGATCAGCTCTCTAGTACTTACTAATTACCTGCTGTTCACAATTCCACACACCGCAAGAACCTCAAAATCATCAAAGATAACCAACTGTCAGAGACGAGATCGAGCACAAATAAACGCCACGTACCGGAAGAACCGTCCATGTGTTAATCAAGATAAATAAAAGTCCGAGTCTAAGATCAAACACAAATTAACGCCACGAGAATGTTAGACCGTACGACCGGCTTCGCCCGAATAAAACGCACGGTCATTACCACACTATCGAAACGTAAATCGGCCCCAAAAACGGCCCTAAAAATGTCCAAGAAGAGGATGAAACACAAATTAACGCCACGAGAATGTTCTACATTACGACCGGCTTCGCCCGACCATAATGCACGGTCATTATCACCACAGTATCGAAACGGAAATCAGAAATCACCACCAAAACGGCTATAATTACCGCACGTTCTATTCGGTTGAGAAACGTATCCATACCCAAGGGTCAACCGTCTTTGTGTTAATCAAGATAAATAAAAGTCCCGAGTCTACGATCAAACACAAATTAACGCCACGAGAATGTTAGACCGTACGACCGGCTTCGCCCGAATAAACGCCACAAATTAACGCCACGAGAATCAAACACAAATTAACGCCACGAAGTTCTTTTTTCTCCCTATCTTTTTTTTTTTGTTCTCCCTATCTTTTTTCTTTTCTTTTCTTTTTTTCTTTCTTTTATTTTTTTTCTTTTTTTTTCTTTTTTTCTCCCTATCTTGACGTAAGAGCACTTCGATTCGTGTAAGAACTGGTCGATAGATAAGACTTACTAAAAAAAAACAAAAGACCCGATATCAACGTAAGAGCACTTCGATTCGTGTAAGAGCTGGTCGATAGATAAGACTAGCAAAAAAGAAAAAGACGCGATATCTAAAAGAAGATACGCCTACACGAAACGGCAAACAAACAAAGAGCGCGGGTAAATTCAGAGAGACAGGAGGGATGCAGAAAGCCGTACCTGGTCCTTGAATCCTCGGGAGAGCATTTCATCGGCCTCGTCGAGAACGAAGATTTTAATGTAGTCGGGCTTCAACGCTCCTCGGCGAAGCATGTCGTACACACGTCCTGGTGTTCCAACGACAACATGTACACCACTCTGCAGGATCCTCTGGTCCTCCCTGACGCTCGTGCCTCCGACACAAGCGTGTACCTTCACCTGGAGGTAGTCTCCCAGTGCCCTCATGACCTTCTCTATCTGCTGCGCCAACTCTCGCGTAGGCGCAAGTACGAGTGCTTGGCATGCCAACGTCTCGTAGTCCAGCTGCTGCAGAACTCCAGAACAGAAAGTCGCCGTCTTCCCCGTACCGGACTGTGCCTGCTGAATGACATCCAGTCCTTTGCAGAACGGCACGATGCCCCTCTGCTGAATGGTCGACGGTTTTTCGAAACCTGTTGCCAAAAGAGAACCGGAACGTACGACCCGTCATTACAGCCGATCTCTCAAGCAGAGGCAGAGCTCCCTCCACACAAATTGCGTGTCTTCATACCCACAAGTGACACAGGCAATGCAACCTGTGGCCAAAAGAGAACCGCAAGGGACGACCCGTCATTACAGCCGTCCTCTCTAGCAGAGCTCCCTCCACACAAATTACGTCTCTTCATAACCACCAGTGGCACAGACCATGGCGTTATCTTTCCCTCCACATGTCACACGGACCATGCCATCAATCAATCACACTCACGATTACAAAAATGCGCAACACGTCACTACAGCCATACTCTAGCAGAGCTCCCTGCACACAAATTACGTGTCTTCATACCCACCAGTGGTACAGACCATGGCGTTAACATTCCCTCCACATGTTACACAGACCATGCCATCAATCACACTCACGATTACAAATGCGCAACACGTCACTACAGCCGTACTTTCACGACAGCGTGTCCTCATACCACAAGTGACACAGGCCACGTAGTTATCACGCTCGCACGAGATGTGCACAACCTACCGTCTTCACCCCAATTGCCATCCGTCCATTATCACTGGCTGTATATGGACTGAAAGTTGCCCTCTATACAGCTATAATGACCGTGCAGATTCGAGTGCAGTCGGTCGCCTCGTACAACAAACAGTGAGTGCCACAGGCACTGCAGTTTCCGTATTAAAGCATATACGACCAGGCCGGGCATGCATGCATGCATGCATGTTTGCACAGACTGTTAAACAAATTTCGGATTCCCACGTCAAAAGCCATGCACAATCTTGCATGCCCAAGTCAAAAGCCATGCACAATGTTAAAAACCATGCACAATCTTGCATGCCCAAATTAAAAGCCATGCACAATCTTGCAGGCCGGGCATGTATGTTTGCAAGAAGACTTGAACAAATTTCGGATTCCCAAGGCATGCACATTCTTGCAGGCCGGGCATGTGTATGTTTGCACAAAGACTATTATACCATTTTCGAGTTCCCAACTCACAGGCATACACAATCTTGTTATCAAATCCACATCATCGTTATACGAATAACAGTACACCCGCCGGGCATGGAGACTCCGCACTGCGAGCCAAGCTTTGCTCAAATACATGCCAGCGGAGCAGTTTTCTTTCGTCTTGCGCCGCCAGCCATTGTGGTCTTACGTCCACGCGCGCAACTGAAATTTTCGGATTCAGTAGCAGTTCACGTATCATCCATCCATCATCTACTCCCGCTTTCATTTCGATCTGCTGCTTGTATGACAACGAAAACTCATCGCGGAAGTACACAACAGTTTTCAAGTACTCGTCTCCTAGTCGAATGAAGGCTCAAGAAGTCGGAATAAAGCCGCGGAGGCTCAGATCCAGTTAGTTCCAGAAGTTGAGGTTTTCTTGAGCTTACCGTACGCATAAATGCCTCTCAGCAGGTTCTCCCTGAGCCCCATAGCGTCGAAGGATTCGTGCACCTCCTCCCATGTAGAGATGAAGTCATCTCCATCCTCCTTCAGCCTGCAAGCACACAAAGACAAATGAGACGACACATTTCCTGCAGCCTGCCACGATATGAAGACCCACAGACACGACTCGTTCTCTCAAGAAAATAGTCAAAAACTATAAACTCAAGCACAAAGTCTATGCCTCGACAAAGGCTTCCACTTCGTCGCCGCGCGGCCGACCAGATTGCGTAAAACGAAGGGCGTTTCTGCCCAGGTAAGACGACGCGGCTGAGAATAGCACGACCTGCATGTATAGCGACACTACCCGGCCATCCACGACATCTACGCCCTGCGGTCACACAACCCATACATCCACGAAACCTACGCCGTACGCCGTGAAGAAAGCCCCATTTCCACAATCCACCGTACCACAATGTTCCGTACAAACACAACATTAACTCAGACGCAGCCCCACCTTCCCACAATGTTCGGTACAAACCAACTCAAGAATCAAATGCAGTCCATCCGCATCCGCGATCGAGAATGGACTGACAAATAGCTGCTGGACTACAAATCACGCAGCCGTAAGCAAGCGGCTGGCCTGCTCATACACCGCGTTGAGACAGGGCACAAGCACAAGCCATTTTCTGAGCCCAAGAAATGCACACCAGCTGCAAAACAGACTACACATTCTCCCTAGATTTCATACATAGGGTATTCAAAAAAAAAACAAAAAAAAAAAGCATAGGGTATTCGCCGACCAGGCACAACGGCAATGATTTGAATCGAAAATGCAGAAAAACGAAAGCAAGGACGTTGGAAAATGTGCCCGCAACGGAGCGATGCCTCGCCCTCTTCTTTCACGCTTTGAAGGAACAGTTCTTCGAGTACAGAATAGAGCCAATCACCGGCGTAACAATACCATACTTAATAAATCATACCATTACTTAAGTCTGTCGTCCCGGATTTGTTTAAGGACTAACTAGTCTTCACCCCAAAAGAACGCCCGGTAATTATCGCCTTATCTGGGCTGGAAGTTGTGCCAAATACAGTTATAATGACCGGGCGTTCTATTCGGATGAAGATGGTGGCGAGAGTCCGCAACGAAGCGCATCATAGACAAGACGCAATCCCTATGCCCCCTAGTGCTCATGTGACGTTCACACCTCGCCAGCAAATAGACAAAAACCGTCATCACAAAAAAAGCATACATACCGCAACAGGAGCGCGATCGGGCAGAAAGATGACAGCTTGTTTTAAAAAACAATACTCGCGCTAAACCGACAAGAAAACGAAGCGTACGAAACCGAAAACGAAGGGAGTATCGCCGTATTGTACCCATGCATTCCCCGAGTATACTTCATCGCCGTAGAGAAAGGTACTCACGGAGAGCAACACACAATAGCAGAAATTGACCTCTGTTAAATAGACATCACTGACAATTGAACCGCCTCATCACCACGCTTATTGAGTGTTCCACAGAGAACAGATCACAATGACTGCCACATACGGCCGGCAATCTTGCTAAGAAAGAGTCCCTGTACTCGACGAAAACCAAAGGATACAACACGCTGAAGCTACTAGGCTCTGTGTGCGAAACCGCAGAGAGTCGGTCCATAACACTCGACACCAAACGGAACAAGGTGAAATTGTAAGGTGGTCTAGTTCTGAGAGGCAGACCAAACGGAATGAGGTGAAATTGAAGGAGGTGTCGTTCTGCGAGACAGACCCCATTTCAGACGAGAGGGTAACACGGCATACCAACACAAGGCATGGTATAAGCTTCTTCTCGGACGGAAACGCACCCTATCTTAGTCCGATTCAGACTCAAAGAAAAGAAAAGAAAAGAAAGCGTGAGTGCCATACGTAATCGCCCCGGAATGAGGTGAAATTGAGGGAGGTGTTCTGCGAGACAAAGACCCCATTTCAGTGGAGAGGGTGACACCGCATACCAACACAAGGCATGGTATAAGCTTTCTTCTCGGACGTCAACGCACTCTATCTTTAGTCCGATTCAGGCTCAAAGAAAAGAAAGGAAAAGAAAGCGTGAGTGCCATACGTAATCGCCCCTCAGACCAAGATGATGGCGATTACAGTTGCTCACTGATCTACTGTCTACTCCAGAACGACAATCTTCCACTTAACGCGGGAGGAAAATAAAAATAGCTAGCCCTCAATGCCAACCCCATCTCTCCAACACGCATACAACATGAAATGAAACGAGGAACTTACACGGACTCCATCTTCTGATCGTAGTTCCGGGCATCGAACTGTGCGGTGTCAGCCGGAATCGCCGCCATGATTGCTGCAAACAGATACAATCACCATTCAAGTGTCAGTCACGCATAGAAGACAAACACAACGCTTGCTTCAGACAAGACCCTTCTCCGCAAGTCTGATCCTACAAAACCTAAATGAGATCAACGGATACTTTCTGCCACACTCCAAGCCCAATAGTAACACTAAGATACGATTTGTGGACACAGTGGCACCATCAGCATCAAGCATCAAGAACATGGAAACCGAGAGATATAACAATGGCAGGATACCGAGATGATACCGTCTTCACCCGAAACGAACGTACTGTCATTTTCGATGCATCTAGACTGAAAGTCGTGCCATATTGAGGCAGAAAAAAACATACGTTCTTGTTGTATTGGGGGAAAAAGACGGTAGTAAGTGGATAGTTCACTGCTAATTGAAAGAGCCCGTAGTTTTAACAAACACAGAAGTAATGAGACCCCGAACACAGACAACAGTCAAGCCATCGTGTGATCATTTGGACGGCGAAAAATGATAAATCTGTAATTAATAAATCTGTAATGATGTGCATTTTAACATCGTACTGAAAAACCTGCTGCCCGCCAAAGACGAGAAACCCGAGTGAAAAGTAGAAAAGAAATCAAACACTGATAGAAACGACTCATCTATCAGCATCTGCCATCTCCTCTCATAGCAACGATAACGACAGACGTAACTTCTGAATCTCCCGTTACGTCGCGCGGAGTCCATTTAACCAAAAGGCAGGGCCTCAGCATTGCATTTTGA